CAGGTTGCAATAGATAGATTTTAATAAACAAACAAATAAATAAATAAATAAATAAATAAAGCAGGCAAGCATCATGTTTGTGAGTTCACTGGTACCACCTTCAGCAAGTTATCCTATCCTCTTGTTCCTCCAGGTCCTCTGAAAGTATTGGGCATGATCCCAAGAAAAGGAGGATTCTGGACTGCTTACCTACAGATACTTGCACAGAGAACACCTCAGATGCCTTAATGTTGACTCAGAACACACAGTCTCTTCAACACAGGCCCTTCGCGCATTCGCTGAAGGTCACCAAGCTATTCAACCGTACACATGGAGCAATCCTAACTTCTTTGAGGAAGTGACCTCACGCAGTGGCAGCTGGGCCATGCTGTGACAAAGAGCAAAGTACTTCCACTGCTAATTGGTCACAATACTGCGCTCAGTCCTTGGCAACTGAAAAGGTTTGCTAGCCTCGTAGCATCTTAGTTTTCGGAGTCGTCTCTTGAGGCTGGATGTTTTGGACACCTGCCTTGAAGGTTCCTTTCTGTTCAAGCAAAACTTCCTCCTGTTAGCCAGCAGTCAGGTCTCATGAACCAAGGTGATCCCAGATCAGGATCCTAGACCAGAATCTAGCAACCTCTCTCAGATCTATAGACCCTTTCCCCTCAAAGGTCTTCAGGAATCAGGTTCCCCATATCAGGACCACCACAAACCTAAAAGGCCCATCAGATTGAAGTCATATTTGCCATACATCGCGGGCAGTGCTTCAACAACAAAGTCACATTGTGAATTCGCCCTGTTTCCTGAACATAAGCCCAATACAACTTTGGGGACACGGAACTGGTTCTTGGATCCCTTGTGCATGACTTTATGATCTCTTGGGCATTCCTGACTTTCCTAAGGTAGCACCTATTTCTTTGCTTTATTTTCTGGAGAGGCAAATACCTGTCTTGTACTTGCCGCAGGTACTGTTAGATACCTTCGAAACTTAATTTGAAGATATTTCCTTGGTTCTCATCAACATGTTCAATATATTCACTCACTTTCTCTAATTTTTTAAAGTAGACAAATGTGAAAAGATTGTCAAAATAATTTATTTCAGCCACTTTCCAATGAAAGCAGGGTCTGCTTACTTCCCTAGGAATAACCGAATGGACGAATTCACGAAGCTGCTGTCAATAATTCCACCCTATATATTTCTGCTTAAAATTCTCCAAAACTCCTGATAAACCAGATTTAACAAGGTTCTCAGAATGTCTTACGCCATGTTAAACGTTAGATTAAAAGCAGTTTTTAAAAGGAGAGACACTGAAGACAAAGAATTCCCACATTCATGGATCTATCACTGCACCAGTCTGAGCCACGATGGAGACAACGGCGCATGCAAGTGAATTCAATTTCTGGCCACCACCAGGAGTATGTGGTGGCTGTGAGGGCCATGGAGCCACCCTTCTAGCCAATGCTATTGAAGCCTGCAGGAGCCCATACAAATCCGCAGCCACGTGGAACAGGAGCTGCCTTATCTGCGATGCCAGCCCATGGCTTGGCAGAGTGCAAACGGCACCCGGGGCAGCTGTGGCCAGGAGCATTTTTGGGCCACTTAAGGGAAGTACACCAACTGTGCCCAGTTCTGCATTCAGTGAATTGAGCTGCTCCACACGGGGCTGGCCCTTGAAGCCTTTCCAGGTACTTCAGTGAGCATGAAAGGTCTCCGCAAGGTCAGGGACAGGACAGGTTTCTCGGTACCTGCAGCTCCACTCTAGTGCCAACCACGCTGGATAGTCATCCACTCCTGTGCACGCGCCAAGGCACTCATCAGCATCAGAGCCCTAGGAGGCTTAGGGCCACGTGGGTAGCCAGCCACTGAGATCTGCCCATCAGCTGAGAGCATTAAGCGAGGCCCTTCCGACAACCCGCACACTGCCGTCCCTTGCGAGTGGGACTTCTCTGCTGTGGCTCATGGAACTCCCTGGACCAGAACGTTTCATCAATCCCCTCTTTCCCAGTCCTCCATCGTCAGCCGGCTTCTGTGGCACAGCTTTCTTTTCTGCAGTAGCAGCTCTTGGCTGGTGCAGCTTGCTCGGTTTGTTTTTGGCAGCTTCACTGTCTTGGTTACAAAAGCTGCTTTTGGGGTAGGAAAAAGCATAGGCTAGGCCCAACCCAGATGCCCATACCCAATGCACAGACGATGAGCAGACGCATCTCTTCCGAAGAGAAGAGGCCTGCACAGGCTTTGTGCAAACTGGAACCCCACTCGCAGGGCCATAATTGCCTTGGAAAGCTGCCAAATGTGTCCTGCAGAACAAGCCAGAAACACCCAGCACCTCTTTGTAGGAACCTCAGTGCCTGGTGGGTAGGATTATATTTATTCAGTCTAGAGCTTAAGACTCAGAGTCACCTAGATCCCACAACAAAAGGCCAGGGTGTGTTTGCTCTTGAGGAATGTTGCACATCCTTAGAGGCTGTCATTCCGTGGAGTACAGAACCCTGGAGGCAGCCTTCCTGGATTTATACACGGGCGGAGAAAGAGTTGGCTCTCAGATCTCAGAGAGCAATCCAGTATCCACTTATCTTTGTGTAAACCCCACTGAACTTAGCAGAACTTACTCCTGCACAGACCCATGTAGGACTGCACCATTCGGGGCCAACAGCATCCTGCTTTCAGGGCCTAGAAATCAGAGCACAGTGGCCAAGTCTCTAACCGCACTGCAAGTTCTACGTACATAGCCGTCCGTGCAGAAGTCAGGACGGGCTGTGGCTGGGACCTCGCCCAGTGACCCTGCCCCAGCCTCCGTCACATCCCCACATTTGGCTGTTTGGATAAATGCCAGTGAAAATGCGATGCAGAACAAAAGCGAAAGATCAGACGTGCACTAAAACAGGGCTAGAGGTTTCCACTACTCAGGGTATTTGGACCGACTGTGACAGCTGCTTCAGTAGCGCTCGGGCGGTGATCACCTTCATCCCCACTGGGTTCAAGCTGTTTGCAAGATGTGGGGTGCAGCGGCCTTGCAACTTCCGCTCTAGATCACCTGCACAGCCCTAAGCCTTTTAAAATTGCACAGAGCTTCCCACTACTTTTGGAGGACACGGTATTCAGTACTTCAAGTGCAAAATGAGGTTTGTTTCCATACTTCAAAGAATCGAAACTTTATACATGGCAACCAACATGTCACAGATCATTCCCCCCCATGGTGAATTCGAGTGGCCAACATAGAGAAATGAACCCAAAATAGGGCCACTGAAAATATTATACGGACATATTAACGTATTTGGCAAGAATCTTATGGACTGACAAAAACATTACAACGTTTTTAAGAAGCGGCACTCTGAGATGGGTGATGCTGAGTGCCAACTGGAAGAGAAGACCTGTTGAGTTCTTTGCATCAGTCAGTATCCCGGAGGAATCCACAGCTGGATGATGGGAACACTGGAAGGGAGCACCAAGCTAAGACTGCAACTTCTTGTATGGATGGGCTTCATCTGCTCCCATTTCACATCAGCCACTGGCTGCACTGGGATTCCGATGCCCAGAATGGTGGTTTACGATTAGGGAAAGAATGGTTAGTGTTCAGTTACAGTGAACCCAAAGATTAAAGAATGAACGTGCATCTGTCCAGGAAGCTTGGAAAGGTTGATTGGAGGAACTACAGATTAAAATCCTTACATTATACATGATTTAGCAGTTCTTAAATACACTTAATTTGTCAATGAGGAAAGATTTTTTATCATGCTTGAGAAATCCACGCTGCTTGCATTATGTGATTTACATTTAGATGAATTACCAAACTGATGATCCAAATGCATAAATTATGGCCAACAGCAAATTACACATGGAGCAAGGCAGCATCCGCAAGATTTTTTCTCTTTGAAAGCCATTTTAAGAGTCTGTCCAATCGCTTCACTCCTATGGGTTGGTTCAAAGTGTATTTGGTTTCAGCCAGTGATTGGTAGCCTGCAGTCCCCACAACTAGTTTCCAGAAACCTCTCAGCCATTTTCACAGCTCTCTCTGCCGCTGGTAGAAATTCTGAAATCCGGCAACAAAGCAACGCACAAGGGGAAGCAACAGTTCACTCTCGGGAGCACAATTCTGCTTGAAAGCAAGAAGCGTGTGCCTCAAAGAAGCAGCATTATACCAGGGGTGCTACCCCTGCCAATGCCACAGTGCATTTGGCCACATCAGTTTCAACCACAGGGGAGAAGTACAATCCCTGGAGGGCTTTGGGGTGGGTGGGGAGAGAACGTGACCCCCTGGCCTCCCAAAGCTGCCCAGCCGGCCAGGATGCAAACACTGAAGTTACACCCTGACTCTTCAGCACTGAGGTCCTGGTTTGTTTGGTCCAGGTTTTCCCATGGTATCCCGAGAAAGGAACTCTGGCTTCATGTTGGTTTCTTAACTTGGATCTTAAACCAGAATCAGACACGATCACTTTTACACCCAGTAGCATGGCAGGCTTAGCCTTAAAATCAGTGCTCTTTACAGATTTGTATCTTTACAGAATTTTGCATCTGATCTCCCGATAAACAGAATTCTGCGTGCTGCATACACAGACTGCATTGCTTTAGACTTAGACTTACCTACTGCATTGCTATCTGGTAGTCCAGCCAGATATGATGCATGCTTGTTCAAGAAGCACATTTCAAACACAAAAAAGGCCTTGTTCTTGACAATTTAAATCAACCACACCCTGGGAGGCACTTTCTCACCTAAGCCAGTCTGAAATGCACACAAATCCCTGTTCAGCTCCTCTTTTCTCTTTCAGCAAAAGCAGGTGAACAGCACAACAAACACTTGCACAATTTATTGCATCGCAGATGAAACTTGAGACTAATAATCCCTCCTTCATTATTCTTACACACGCAAAGGCAGGGTTAACCACAAACTGTTTTCTGCATATCGTCTATCTCTATTTGAATACAGTCTTTGAAATTAGGTAAGCACTGTAGAAATTGTGACTTAACAAAGCAAAAGTTTTCTTTTTGTGAAGGCTCAAAACTGTTTATGAAAAACATATCCTACCTTAACAAGTTGAAGCTTAGATCGAGTCTTTTTGCAATAGATCCATATTTTCTCCCAAGGAATTCTGGAATTTTGCTGCAGTCTTGACCAATGTAAGATACCTGTAAGAAACAGATATGCACAAAAGAGTTTAACAGCTGGATAATTGGACGTCTTCAGATATTTCTTGTCTTGGCAATCCAGAAAAAGCAAATAAATTAAAAGGATTAAAAATTCAAATTAATCAACTGCTACCACTCTTGAGCTACTCCAGCTCCACCTGTTCAACCCCTTTAATAAATTCCACTGTCAGCTTGCTTCACAAGTTTTCAGTTTCAGAATTAACATATTTAGTAGACCATAAATAACTTTTCCAATGTTACCTCTATAGTAGCTAATGGAATGCTTTGGAGGTTCATGCGTTGTGACGTAGTTATGGCAGGGTCTATCCATAGTTATTGTTGTGTGCTTTGCTGGGTATGAAGTATCCCAAAATTTGGGAGGAAACATGGAGAGGAGAGAGACTACATTTCCTTGGGCCAGTTAATAGGGAAGCATTTGCAAACAGAAGCAGCACCATAAAAAGTACAGTAAGTGCTATTGCTCTTCACTTCATTACCTCAGTAATCCTCATGTAAGGTGGGGTAGAATTAATGAGGATACTGCAGAGGGGAGGAAGCTGGAACAAAGAAATAGCAGCTTGCTAAGGCCACTGAACACGTTCGTGCCAAGACAAATTTCTTGGCTCTGCACTCGGTATCGTCACTGAAATACAGACCTTGACCACTCCCTTAGACATGGTGGGAAGCAGAGGCGTACCTGCCTCTGCCTCCCTTCTGGCAGAGCTGTCTGTGCAGGGACAAGGTTCTCATGAGGCCTACATACATAACATCCAGTGCTGTGGCCTCTGGTCTCACCACCAAGTCCTTGATCTCTTCCAGGAAATCACGCAAATCAGGTGTGCACGCTTTGAATGTCGCACGTGCGTGTCATGTCTGAATGCCGTAGCCTGGCCTGGCCATCCAGTGGCATCAAATATATACTGCCTGGTCCAGGTGAGGCATCGCTCACTCCTCCTGCCCGCCCACGAGGGGGGAATGATCGGGGACTCTAACCAATCCAGCCTATGTCACACGGGCCTTCCAGCTGTTTTGACGTTTGCATACCTACAAATACAATACACTGAAGTAGTAACAAAGTCTGTCATGTGCAGGCGTAAACATACATGCTCAACTTAATTTTGAAATGGGCACCTCCAACCACAGACAAGATCTGTGCATTACCACTTGGCTAGAATTGCTGCAGGACCCAGCAGTGGGTTCCAAGCCAGAGCTGCCACCAGAACTTAACTGGAGGAGAGGGGAGGGGCGGGGCGGGGCGGGGCGGGGCGCCAAGTCAACTCATATATCCACAGAAATGGAAGAAGGCAGGCAATTGTCTTCAAAACAGCCAATTCTATGTTATCTGATAAACATGCAGTGGCATTTCCGGTTTTGGGGGAGCCCATGGGGCAAAATGCCCTGCATGGTCCTCCCCGCTTGGCAAGCCACCTTACCACCACGGCTGGCCTTCGTCCTGGTCATCCCTGCTTCCACCTGCATGCTAGACAGGCAGAGCACCAGAGAGCAAATATGAGATGGGCATCTACTGATCCTGCTTTCCACCACCGCCGGTGCTGGAGGCAGAGGTGAGACAGACAAACAAACCGGGTGCAGTGATGAGGAAGAGGAGGAGGAGGAGGAGGAGGAGCTCCATGGGGCTCTTGTCAGGAGGCGTCTGCAGGGGTCTGGGCCCTCAAGAAGTGCCCAACAAAGCCCACCCTTGACCAAGATCCTGTAAATAGGAATCTTCAGAATAAGTTACTTCAAAATAAGATCCACACCACCACGTGGAACTCCGCTCCCTAGCAGATGAGTTCAGGTTGTGACACAGATGCACGGCATACAGGCGGGACAGAAATTAGTGGTTGGAAGCTCCAGGAGCCACCTGTTTCTGATAAGGAAGGAATCCAAAGAACCAAATAGCTTGGGACCATGGTACTTGAAGGACCATCTTCTCCCAACTACACCTGCCCAGACCCTATGATTTTTATTTTATTTATTTATTTGATTTATTTAAAACGTTTATATACTGTCCTTTACGTCGTCGTCTCAGGACAGCTTACAACATGAAAACCAATACCCAATAAAAACAATCAATGAGGCAATACAATAGAATAATATATAACCAGTAAAAAACAAATCAAAATTACTGTTAAACTACTAAAATTACTAATTTTTAAAATGATGTTTAAATTAAAAGGTTTTGACCTGGTGCTGAAAAGAATATAGGCTCGGCACCAGACAAACCTCCCTGGAGAGCACATTCCACAGTCTGGGCACCACCACAGGGAAGGCCCTGCTCTGAGTAGATGTCCTTTTTACCTCCTTCATGGAGGGTTCCTGGAGCAGGGCCTCTCCCGCGGATGCGTGAGGGCATATAAGGAACGAGACGTCCCTTCAGGTATCCTGATCGTCCTCAGTTGTCCTCCTCTAGAAGCCCTCACCCAGCTAAGAGCAGGGTTCACCCATGGTGGAATGAGCTTCCTAGAGGATCGCCTGGCACCAATTCCCAGTGCCTTTTTTCCCCACATATTTCAGTTGCTCATTTGCTGTTCCTGTATTTTAAATCTATGCATTGTTGGTAGGTTTTATTTCAAATTTCATTTTTATTTTATACTGAATTGTGACACTTTTCTCTTGCATCTTATGTTTTAATGGTTGCGAGTTGCCCAAAGATCTTCTGCAATTGGACAGTATAGAAATATCATAAATTTCTATACTGTGAGCCGCCCCGAGGCTTCGGCGAATGGGGCGGCATAGAAATTTTCTAAATAAATAAAATAAATACCGAAGATACAACATGGTTGCTTTTATCTGCTTTATTTTCAAATATACCAGCTAAACGTAAGAAAGCAAGCAGGCAGGCAATACAAGTTTTTAAAGTAGGGTTATTCCTCTAGACGCAGCTTGCCTGTAACTGGAGCTTCCTCTCTTGCTTTGCCCATTACCTGCAAAGTCTTCTGTAGCCTTTCCTTGCTATTTTTTCTGCTACTAAACCATTTCTGTCCAGCATCAACTGGAGAAGTGGTACATACCTAACAGCCATTTAAGCAGGTCTCTTTATGGAACCTATAACTACTGAAGAAAACTACAGAGCAATGGTGATCTCCCAAAGAAAGCAAGGGTGTTACAACACGAGGATGCCATTCTCTGAAGAAATGTGCTGTGTAACATCATAGCTTAAAACAAGAGGCAGAGTCCCATCCAAGCTCTCTCACATGCAGAAATTGTCAACAATGGACGTTGCTGAGCAACACTAGCATGCTGAAAGTTTATCTTGCCACACATAAAACAATGGTTGAAATTTTAGTGCTTAATTAACATCTCCACAGAGTTCTATCATCTGTACCAGCTCATCCCTCAAGCAAGTAACTTAAAGATAGGGAAAAGTTGATCAAATGCTTCTGAAAACTACAGCGTTTTACACTGCAAGTATAATTTTGACAAGTTTCTTTTACCCTGGAATTAGTTTAACAGCAAAGCAGTATCTATGCTCCATTCAAAGTTCTACTTTTTAAGAAATTGGTCTTAGGAAGTTCCCATTTGTCTTTGAAGTTCCTATTTCTACAAATTCCTGATAAGAACAAGAAAATAAGAGTCAGGCAAGTTGTGTTTGGATGATATTTCATGTTCTCCAAAATACAACGTACTCTGCAAGACAAGTTGCCAGCGCTCCGTGTAACTTTACAAATCACCTTGGTGGCTCAGCTGGTCTTAAAATGATTGCAATCTGATAATGTAGCTTTTCACCCCCTTTAATTCATCCTTGTTCAGTAACTTCATCTGAGAAAGAGATAGTTGACTACAGAGAAATAGTTTTACTGTGAATACATGAGCCGAAAAAATAAAAAGCTCAGAGTTCATTCTTGCAATTTCCTCTCCATTCTCGAGGCATCTGTCATCCCTTCTCTTGCAATAAATTCCACTTCAGGACAAAGGTTTGCCTTCCACCATCTCCAGAAAGTAAAAGAAAGAGATTTCTTTGAGGAAAAAATGTCAGTCTAATTATCTAGAATCCTGCTCCGAAATCAGCAAACTTCTTCCAGCTATCTTCTGCCATTCATCCTCATGGATCCCAAAGTTATTTATATGATATGTATGCATGCAAATGCAATTATATGAAAAAAACAAGAGCATAAGTGCAGTCAGCAAGGGTAGAAAAAACAGCAGCATGCTTTTATAATCAAGAGAAAATGCTGTGCATGAATGCTACTCTTCCCTGTGTTAGCTTTCAGACTTCCATAGGCAAGACCATAGACCAAACCTGAAAAACCAAATTTTAAACCTCTATGTTTATACTAATTTGGCAGCAGAGTCAAAGACAGCCCTCACTTAGGTGACAGCGTTAGAAAATATATATACATTAGATACCGATACAGATAATATAGAGATGCTGAGATATAGATATATAGATATATAAGGTAAAGGTCAAGGTTTCCCCTTGACGTGAAGTCCAGTCATGCCTGACTCCAGGAGGCGGTGCTCATCTCCGTCTCCTGGCCAAGGGAGCCAGCATTTGTCCGCAGACAGTCTCCGTGGTCATGTGGCCGGCATGACTAAACACTGAAGCGCACAGAACGCTGTTACCTGCCCACCAAAGTGGCGCCTTTCTATCTACTTGCATTTGCATGCTTTCGGACTGCAAGGTTGGCAGGAGCTGGGACGGAGCAACGGGAACTCACCCTGTTGTGCGGATTCAAACCGGCAGCCTTTCGATCTACCAGCCCAGCAGCACAGCGGTTTAAACCACTGCGTCACCTGCAGTCCCTATATAAATATAGAGCATTTCAAACATATAATAACAGTACCACCATATACGGATTGTCTTTAGGGTCTGAAGTGATATCACAAGTGCATTTCCATGGCAGTCATGGAGCTTTTACTCAGGTTTTTCCCCCAAAGTTCAAAGTCTCCTGGAGGCAGACTTTTCCCAAACAACATGGAACTGTCAGGGCAGGGATTGCTTTCAGCATTTCATCAATATAAACTCATGTAACTGCTGGGGTCCCACAGGGATCAGT